GAATCTTAAAATATGGAATGGACTATAGGGAATGACAGAAACTGGTACCTAGGACCCTCAGCAAAGTCAAAACATGAGGCACTATCCACGCGAACTGCAAAGATCATTTCTCTCCAACACAGTGTCTTAACAATGTTTCTTCCCAAAGACAATCCACAGTGGGACACAGTGCCAAAGCAAATAGGCACAGCCCCATCCCATCACCCCTCTTTCGATTGTTGGCATTTCCTCAGGAGCAGGCTGAACATGTCAGCAGCTCACGCTGGGAAAGGGCTGGTGGAATATCGGTGTTAGTCCGAGATGCTGATACAAGTACATCAGGAACAGGGACAGAAAGAGAAATGGAAAAGGGGGTGTGAGGGCTAGAGGATAAAGCAAAACACAGAGAGACACACAGAGACAGAAGGAAAGGTAGAGATGGAGAAGAAGGATAAGAGGAAAGAGCAGAACAGAGTGTAATAAGTATCCAGCCTGTAGTCTGAGCCTTAATCTACAAACATACAAACAAGAAACAAGACCACTTGGCCCTTAAAGCCTACTCTGCTATTCAATAAGATCTTGGTTGATCTTATTTTAATCTCAACTCTACATCCCTGCAAACCCCCGATAATCTTTCATCCTCTTGGTCATTAAAAATCTATCTATCTCTATTTTTAAAATATTCAAAGATTCTGTACTCACTACCTTTTGAGGAGTGGTATTTCAAGGACTCACAGCTCTTTGAGAGAAACAAGATGTTCCTCATCTCTGTCTTAATTCAGCACCCCTTATTTTGAAACAGAGAACCCTGTTTCTAGATTCTCCCACAAGAGGAAACATCCTTTCCGCAGCTTCCCGGTCAAGTCCCCTCAGGATCTGATATGTTTCAATTAAGTCGCCTCTGACTTTCCTAAAATCCAGAGGATACAGGCCCAGCCTGTCTGGCCTTTCCTCATCACACAGACTGCTCATTCCAGATAGTAGTTTAGCAAACCTTCTCTGAACTGCTTCTAATGCATCAACATCCATCTGTAAGTACAGATAGTTCTCCTATAACACAATAGTTGTGTTCTTGTGTGACGTCACACTATAAAAAAACCATGTTATAGGGAAATTGCTACAGAAAATCACTATACCTGTACAACAGAAAGTTCACATTATCCAAACAGCGTCCACTAATCATCAATCACGTTACAGCCAATTCAAATTAACGAAACACACATAATAGCAGAACTATCTGTAGTTTACAAGGATGAATGAATGAATGATTTACTTATTGTCACTTGCATTTTACAGTGAATGATATGATAAAATACAGTGAGAAGCTTCAAGAGTTGCCACAATCTGGTGCCATTTTGAATAGTTTAAGAATAAAAAGGATGAAAGATATAACTGAAAGAGTCCTGAGCCCTGAAATGGCTCACCAATGACACCTTCAGTGCCATCCCTCTTCCACCGCCTCACTGCCTCCTGTGCTGAACCCACCAACGTCAAAGTTACCACTCTTTACACGCTATCTTTTTGTTGCTGGGCCCACCTCACCGATGCTGATGCCAGGCCCCGTGCTGAGCCCACTCTCGTCCCTCATCCAACAGTCCCCGACTCTGCTGCTGCCTCAATGATGCCAGGAGTTCTCACTCTGGGCATACCACACCCTGCCACTGCAGCCGCTGCTTCGCTAATGCCAGGAGCCCTCAGCCTGCAGGAGTCACTGGCTCCAGTGCCAAAGCAGGCCACTGCTGCTGTCTCACCAAGAGTCCACTCCTGCCACCGTCCTCCGAGGTGTCACCTTGCCAGCACTGCCATCTTGAAAAGTCTGCAGCCGCTACCACTGTGGGCCCTGAATACCTCGGGGGGGTGGGGGGAGCGGGAATGTCCCTGTTACCGTGGGCCCTGAATACCGGTGGTGGGACATCCCTGTTACCACCGACTCCAGTCACCATGAGGAGCCAAATCTGCCATTACCTCTGACTGCTGTGAGGAGCTGCCACTCTGCACACAGCCCGCTCTAGCTATCGCGCTGATTTTGCCAACTAACCCACTGCAAAAAGCTCCAAAGAAAGAAGAAAGAAAAGAAAGAAAGAAAGCATGAGAGAGCAGGTGAGGCCTGGGCAGGAGCCTGCACGCAGCCCTGCTACTCTGCTGCCATCCAATGAAGGATGAGTATCTCAGGGAACACTCAGATTGTATAATCCAGGGAGTGAGTCTATGACTCTATATAATCCTCAAAAACCACATCAGAGGCGATAAGAGCCTTGCCTTCCAGCTATACAGAAGACAATAACCCCACGTCTCCTCTGCTGGAGAAGACACGTTACAGTCAATACGACTGAACTGGTCCGTGGTGGGTCTTCCCCTGGGTGGTTGGAGGCCAGCTGCTCTCCTGAACCCCACTACCCCTGGGAAGGTGGTTGTGGTCAGCTCCACAAATGGTGCTGGGTCCCACACCAGAGGATGGCTGCAGGTGATGGTCACAGGGGAAGGGGGTGAAGGGTTACAGCAGCAAGGCCAGGTGACACTCCCTACCCTTCCCTTCAGTAATTCATGATGCGAGGAGGAGGAGGAAGAGGAACCTCAGACGGGCACCAAGTTACATTGAACAAAGGATTTCACCAGGAGCACCTGGACAAATCTGCCAGGGTTTTGCTCATCAGGCCCTTACCTGCTGTTGGGGAACATCAGTGGCAGCAGGATGAGGGTCTGAAGATTAATTTCCCACTAAAAGGCAGCAGAGTGGGAAGGCCATTCACAGGCATTAGTGCCATACATTTAATGGAAGTAGAGACAGATAGAAGCCAGGGTTGACTCCCACCACCCTCCCAGCCGGTTAAAGAAAAACGGAACAGGAGTAGGCCATTCAGCCCTTCGAATCTGCTCCCCCATTCAATATGATAGTGGCTGATCATCCAACTCTGTCCCCTGTTCCCACTTTCTCCTTATTCCCTTTGATCCCTTTAGCCCTAAGAACTAGATCTAACTCCTTCTTGAAAATATTCAATGTTTTAGCCTCAACTGCTTTCTGTGGCAGTGAATTCCACAGGGTCCCCACTCTCCGGGTGAAGACATTTCTCCTCATCTCAGTCCTAAGTGCCATACCCTGTATCCTTAGACTGTGACCCCAGGTTCTGGACTCTCTGGTTAGCAGGAACATCCTTCCCTCATACACCTATCTCATCCTGTTAGAATTTTATAGGTTTCTATGAGATTCCCCCCTTCCCCATTCTTCTAAACTCCAGTGAATATAGTCTTAACTGACCCAGTCTTACTTCATACATCAGCACTGCTATCTCAGGAATCAGTCTGGTAAACCTTTGTTGCACTCCCTCCACAGCCAGAACATCCTTCCTCAAATGCCCCTGCTGCCACCAAACTCACCACAAGGGGAGGGCACCACATTCCATCCAAAGAGATGCTCGTGATACTGGAATTAAATTGCTTAGCTCACCAAAGCCCCGCTCCTCAACCACACACAACTCTGCAGAGAACAGGGAGTGAATGATGCACAGTCAGGAATACTGTGCTACAACCTTTAACAGGACTAACATCAGTTGAGATGTGGATAACTGTCAGGGATAGTTTTCCAGAATCACGTTCAAACACCAGGAGAAATTAATAAAGCCTGTTAAAATACTGCCCAGTTTGCAAAAAAGACCTGTGCTGACCTTGTCTGAAGTACCTGCTAAGAGAATGGACAACCGACGGAATGCTGTGAGTATTTTGTGCGGGCAAGTGTGTGCAGGATGCTCAGTGAAGAACAGGAGTCACAAAGCTGCATTTCCTCCACTGTTGCTGGGCTAACAATAGTTGGCACTGTCGATGACCTCCCATCCCGATTTCAGCAGTAATTCCCAGGAGATAGAGTTTCCGTGTTGGGTGTAACTGGGCAGCTGCATCTTAAATACTCATGAAATCAAACTGTTCCGTTTGTGCTCAAATATTAAAACCATTTCCTATTATTACACGCATAAACTGAACCAGTACAATTGGACAGTGCAACAGAATATAATTATTTTCTTTCCATTTCTCGGCATGTCGGTATGGTAATGTCATGCAGTGTAATTAAAGCAGCTGAAAACGGTTTACCACCTAAAACTTCAATAAAGGCTGCCAACCCTCCACCAGATTTAAAATATCTGAAAATAACATTAAAAATCTCTTCTGAACTGTTTAGAGGTATACACCAGTTAGTTTCTCAGCTAGAAATATTTCTTCATTGGCAAGAATCTTTTAAAACATTTTGACTGGTAACTGGGAGCCTAAGGAAACTGACATCAACTGAAATAGCTTCAGGGAGTGCAGTAAAAGCCCATGGATTGGATTTCATCAGTAACACTCAATCCTCTTTCATCGTATACAACTGTATTGTTAGCATGTCTCTCATTTCTTGGAAAACACCCTTGCGACATCATGTAGTGTAGAAGCAGGCTCTAGGTTTGTGATTTCAAACAAATGATGAAACGTCTACAATAAGGTTACAAACTCAATGAGGTTTCAGCTGAGTTTTCATTGGAGATCATTAGTTATTTTCAGTGTATTACCTGCTGCTAACCAGGAGCCAATAAAAATGAATCCTGATGGAATGTGGCTCTGATGGAGGACACTATCAAATGGATAGTGCTCAACCTGTTCAAACTGTATCACTTGAACAGGATGGATAATTGCAGACAGCACTACTGTAATCTCCCAGTGAAAGTGTGTCTTGGCTCCTTGGCCGATTTCCAGGATTTTACTTGCACGCTGGCCGCTCCTACAGAGCACGCGCGTGTGTGTGTGTGTGAGTGAGAGAGAGAGAGTGTGTGTGTGTGCGTGCGTGCGTCAATATCAACACCTGTGCAGTCTGTATGTATGTCTCAGTGCGAGCTCCTGTACTCTGTGTAAAAGGGAATTATTGACTCCAAGGTGTGTCTCAGAGATAGCTCCCTAAATAGCAATTGCTCATACGTGCCTGATTGTGTATTAGCTTCCTCCCGATGTCTTTCACATGCTAACCAGCTCAGTTCCCAGTTATGTGTTATACATACCTGGACTGTCTGCTGTTGCTTGTCATTGGCCGTAGGAGAGTTGAGGCCTGTTGCTTGATGCAGTAGGAGCTGCCTTGCTGCTTGAAGAGCCTTGAACCAAGGAGAAAGAAAGAAGGAAAATGAGAAAAAGCTATTTATTTATTGATATACATTGAATGAGTGTTCAAACATTCACAGCTAACACCATCAAAACATCTGTACCTCACCATTCCAACCTTTATCTGACCATTCCCACCTGTATCTGACCATTCCCATCTGTGCCTGACCATTCCCACCTGTACCTGACCATTCCCACCTGTACTTGGCTATTCCTACCTGTACCTGACCATTCCCACCTGTACTTGGCTATTCCCACCTGTACCTGACCATTCCCACCTGTACCTGACCATTCACACCTGTACCTGGCTATTCCCACCTGT